CTGACAGCTCCAGCTCCCCTGGAGCCACCTGCTCGGTGTCCTGGCCTTTCCCGAGCCCGTGAGCAAGCAGGTCTGAGGTATTAATAGCCGCCCCTCTAGGGAGACGTTGCTCAGCTCCCCGGCTGCCCCGCTGGGCTCCTCACCGACCTTTCCTCATCTGCATGGAGACAGCCCTCCCTGCTCCCTCTGATTTAATCCTTTTAAAATTTGTTTTCCATCCCTCACACTGTGCAAGCTCATTTGCAGCCTCGCGCCAGCGCCAATCCCTGCTCCCCCGTCCCTCAGCGGCACGAGTGACATTTAGAAGCCGTTGAAGATTGGCCTTGGCTCCCTCCCTCCTGCTGCGTGCTCAGGCCCCCCGGGCTCCGGTGGGTTTGGGCGTGAAGAGCATCCCGAGTCCTCCCTCTGCCTCCTGCTCTCTGTGCTGGTGCAGCAGGGGTTGCTCTGCTCCCAGGGCTCGTTCCCTGCAGCGCTCATGAGGAGCAAAAACGCTTCCCGTCCAGCACGTCTGGCCTTCGGGCTGGAAATGCCGTAGGTGGAGCCGTGCTTGGCCAGGACGTGAACGCAGCCAGCAGTGCAGAGCACAAGCTGCAGCTCGGAGGGCTGTGGCAGAAGGACGCTGCCCCGGGGAGGTGCCTGCACGGCCCCGCTGGAGGAGCCGGCCTCGCCGTGAGCTCCAGGCCGTCGTCTTGATGCCGAGCCCGGAAGGAGCGCGTTGGGGTCTGTCTGCCAAGCTCGCTTGGCCGCCTGTCCCCAGTTTTAACCCCCGATTTGGCTGCTTTCGTGTCCAGCACCGCGGCTGGGCTCAGCCAGGGCAGCACCGGCAGCGGCCTGCGGAACCGTGTCCATCCCACCAGGAGCGGCGGCAGGTCGGAGCGGGAGCGGCCGTGGGCTCCGGCGGGCACGGGAAAAGGCGCCTTTTCCTGCACTTGCCCATTTGCCGGCCTGACTCACATGTCCCATGGCCGAAGCTGCTGCGTGGGGGTCAGCGGGATCCGGCAGTGGAGCCCGGGGCTGCAGGAGAGGAGGCGCCCTGGAAACCTGGAGCTTGGAAAGGATCAGAGGCTTCAGCTGAGGGGAGGGCGGAGGCAGCTGGGCTGGAGATTCTGGATAATTTTGGCCTCGTTTTTCCCCAGTGAGGCAGTAGCAAAAAGCACCTTTGTTTTCCACCCCCGTGCCATGGTTCAAGCACTGGTGTCATGAGCTGCACGGCCTCTGTAGCTCTTGCCCCAAAGGATTGGTTGACTTGGGGGTCACTGGGCAGCATTGCTGCTGGCTGTGTCCCCACGTGGGATTCGAGTGGTAGGAGCCTTGGCCAGCAGCACTGTCGCTTTGACCTGAAAAATGCCGGCTGCATCCCCACAGCAAAGCAGGATGCTTGGGAAGGCAGGCAGTGACACTGCAGGTTGTGTGGACTTGGGAATGGGAGACAGCAGCTCTGCAGTGCTGAGGCTGCAGCCAGAAATCTTTGTTTCCAGGCCCCGGGCAGCTTCACAGAAGGCAGAAAGGAAGTTTTGGCTTGAAAGAAACTGTCTTTGCTTTGCGGGTCTGCTCGCCTGCTTTAACGTTTGAGGGCAGTTCGCCAGGCTGCCTTCTAGGGTGGCTGGTGCAGATTCACGCTCGCGCGGAGCCTCTCTCCTCCCTGTCGTTTTCGCAGTCCGTCTGCTCGCTGGTGGCACCTCGAGCTCCGCGGGACCGCGGGGAGTGGGCGCCTCCTCGACCCTTCGGGTCAGACTCGTTGGTCCCGTTAGGAATTTGGGCCTTGTCTGGTGTGCAGGACGCTCTGGTGAGCGGAGAAGCAGTGAAGTGATGATATCCTCTGAGCGGGGAGGTGAGGAATTGATGACCTCCCTTCAGGAAGGCTTTTAAGCGTTTTGCTTCCCTGAGTTCAATGGGATCTAAACAAGAGGTTAATTGCCCTGCTGAATTAGGGATGCTTCCCTGAATTAAGGGTGAATGGAAGGGATAACAAGTCAAGGCCACTTAAAACTGTGTCTTTTGTTTAGGTTTAGTGCTTGTCAAACTCCAGTGACTTTTTAGCACTTGGAAGAAGGAGCGTTAAATATTCAACAGTCCATTCATTAAGGTTTGAGTGTCCATTATAAACATCCTGTGAGACACCTGATAGATCTTAAACTGAAGGGAGCCCAGACTTGGTGTTCGCCATATATCCCAGGTCAAAAATAAGCAGCAAAAGCTGTTTTCTGCTTCCTCACTTAAATTTCGTTCTTCTCCTCAGGATGAAAGCAAACAAACCCTTAATGACTTTCTGTGCATGTTGTAAGAAGCAAAAACAACAACAACAAAAAAGAAATTATACGATAGTAAATTTTAATTTTTGCTCACTGCTTTAAATCTTTTGGAGGCATAAAAGGTTATGTATCTCTAAATCTATGCAGGTAACACCATTGAATTTCACTTCCCAAGCAACCCCTAACTTTGCTGCTCTCTCCATCTACCATCCCTATAAAGGACTTGCAAAAAATAACCAGTTTCCCTGGTGGAAAGTACCATAATCTGAAATCTGCAGCACTCCTTATAATAGAGAAACAGGCATTGAAATGATTGGCTTGGGCAAATTTAATCCCAGCACTGGCAAAATGGCTACAAGTGATTTCACTGTCAAGGATTTCACTTTTTCTCTTGAGGATGTTCCTCCTAAGGCTGCAATAGAGAACTGTTAGGAAGGATCCTGATGTTCTTTCCATGAGTTTGTTGTCTCAGCACTTTAAATTAAGCCTCACGCCTCAGTTATTTCCCTTTCTTTTGAACAACAGCCACGCGTGGTGGTGAGCAGCTGTGTCAACGCTGTCCCTCGCAGGTCCGTCCTCGGCACGCGCTGCGGGGGCTCCTCCAGATGCCACCTGCTCCATCCCCATCCTTGTCCCCGCGATGCCGACGTGGGCCTGGGATGCTTCCCGAGCGCCGTGTCACCCGACGGAGGACAGCGCAGCCGGCTGCGGAGGCGGCAGGGCTGGAGGGTGGCATCGCTGCAGGGTTTAGGATGACAGACGGAGTTTGAGAGTGGGCCCTTTTTTGCCTGAGTGGATTTGGTTTTGTCGCTCCTGTGCTCCTCTGCTGAAGCTGTCACCGCCTTGGGGAGCACTGGTCCTGGAGGAGATGGTGGAGCTGGATGTGGGGAAGCCGAAGGAGCTGCCCAAGGAGCCCTGCTGCCAACCTCTCCTCTCACCGGAGCCCCCCGCGGTACCCAGGCGCAGCGGAGGTTGGGATGCCCTGTTCCAGGTCTGGTACTGGCTTTTAGGAAGTAAATCCTGGCCAATTTTTGCTTTATTATTGGTTGATTGTAGTGCAGCACAAGCATCAGTGACCCAGTCCCAGGGTCTTGGGTTCTTTTTAACACCCAGGACGAATCCAGGTGAAGAAACTTGAATATGATGAT